GTGATCTGACGAAATGGGACGATTGGTTCCTTGTAGCACTATTGTTTGATGTGCCTTTGTTTGTTCACTTAGTCGTTATGGCATCGCGGAAAAATGAGATCAGATTACGGACTCAAACAACGCTGGCGCGCACCAGACGCAGTTTGAATAGTTTCGGTAGTTTGGTAGTTTTTTTGTTCTATCATTTTTGATCTTCATGAACGCGGAAGATCTCTCCAACTCGCGTATTGTCAAGTAGTCATCTAAAATTCAATCTAAGTTTACTGGAACAAGAATAAGAGTCGCAACCAATAACAACTATCTACCTTCTTCCCATGCAATGCGAGGAGGGTTTTAGAAGGGTAGAGGGTTAGGCTGGTTGGCTGCTGACTCGGTTGTTTTTTGTTCTTCGTTAGTCAGATTTCATAAGCACAATTCACAGATTGCATCGGGAGCTCTTATGCTCACTTCAATCTTGTTCCACATCTGTGTTGTTTTTGTGCGCTCAACCGCACTATGCGCCACATGAATTATTCAAATTAAATGGCATGATGGACGTGTGTAGGGAGGACACTTACCACGCTTGAGAAACGGATGAGGAATTTGGAGAATAAAATCCACAAAACTGCATGCATGCTCATTGTTAATAGGCAGTGGAGCAGGTGTGTGAGTTGCATTTTGATGACGTTGTTGCTCAGCAGTGAGTGATTTACTCAGAGGGTATGGGAGTGACATATTCGCAATGAGGCACGGCCTGCTTGGCTCATCTCTTTGTGCATTTATAGTAGTCAGAGTTGAAAATTTCAATGTGAGCGAACTGGCATTTGTGAGCTGTCACCATACTGGTCAATTGTGTATGGCACTCTGGCTCCCACAGTTGGGCTAGGCGTTGCGAATGTGTGAAATGTGTTGTTGTGCACAAAGCAGGTTAGTTGGGCTCACGGTGATGAAAGGCACGAGGGTGTTTTCTGATCTGAGATGGATTGTATCTTGGATCGGAGGAGTGTCGTGTATTGGTGGTGGTGATGGTGATGTTGGTGCTTTGCATTGGGAATCTTGGTGGCGCATGTTTTAGTGTCTGAGACTTCAGGCGCACATGGACATTGACCTTATTCTGCAGCTGTGGTAGGCTGATGAAGACAGGGTGAAAGCTTCCGAGAGGTTAAATGGCAGTCATGGAAATTGCTTCAATCATAGAGTCGCCATTGACGTTGCGATTTATCCACATAGTGTAAAGGAGGCTTCTTTGTTGCTGAATGGATGGAACGAAGAGAGAGATCGTTTCCATGATCGAGGAGTGTTGAGGAGTGTTTTGATTTGTCTAATTGGAGACTGGGTTCTGTGAACCCACATGAGTGTCAGGGAAGCGGACATAATCAACATAAAATACCGAGTGGAGTGTTTGGAGGATCCGTTCGTGATTTGCTGGCAATTTGTGACTTTTTTGTTTCTCCCTTTTTCGGAGTCCTAAGTAGGGTACTAGCTTCCCACTTTGTTGGGAATGCATTTTGGTGTTTTGAGGAACTTCATTAGACTTCGATTCCAGCTGTCGGTTCAATCAACAACAATTGGGAAAAAAGCGGCCAACAACTTTGTTTACAGAAATGAGATTTTTCATTTGCCTCTTCGCTGGTGCTTTGCAGGCTAAGTGGCCTTTCATCAAACTCTTTGCTTGGTCGTGAATCCAAAAGTCCTTTTGGTAATTGCCAAATCCATGCAGCCAGTCATGTGAAAGTGGTTGCTAAACTCGTAGCCAGCATTTCTTCGTTTTAACGCTACGGTACTGATAGGGGTACAGTTGTCTCGAATGAACTTGGAAGAATAGCCTCGCATGAATCCTCCTTTTATCGCCTTCACATCTAGGGGGAAGTTTTGTCATGTGGATGGATTTGAGGTGAATAATTGGCTGCGTGGAGCCCAGCAGCGGTCGTCAAGACCAAATTATTTCACTTGCTTTTCATTTCTCTCATGGCTAGGCCACGTGCACATACTTCAAGATCGGGCCGTTGACAGGCGACTCCGGTGAACGTGTTCTCCTGCTCCCCACGAATGTGAGTTTTCTCGTGAAGCCTTTTGGTTTGGTGTGTCTTATTGCACTATTGTGGACATTTTATTCTTTCCTTGTTTGTAGGTGAATGTGAAGAATATTTACCTGTGTGACAAATCTGTCAATTCTGTCCCATGGTAGGTGCTTGTCTCACCGTTCAGATGTTCATTTCATTGGTGCACACACTGTTTAAACACAGTGATGGCTGTGGTGGTGTAGCCTTTTAACACAACTTTGTTCGTGAGCTATGTGGTGGTCTATTCGAAGTCTTTAGCTTTAGAAGGTGTTTAGGTGTGTTTGGGAAAGGACTCTGTGATTTGATCTGTCACCGAAGTTGATGGAAGGCTTTTTTGGTGCTGCTATTGTCAAATGGGGTGAGTGATTGCGTGCTGTTTGAAGGAAGGTTTGGCGAGAGGATGGTGGTTATTAAAAGTGAATAGTTAGGCAAAGTCAGCAGTTGAAAATTGAATGTTAAACTGTTGCCATGTCCTTTGCTGTGGTCCATCTTAGTCCTGCTCTCTACGAGGTGCCGGAGGAATCAGTGCAGTGGATCACGGTTCCAGGTGACGACAAGACAACTGGGGAAGCGCGAATTCTCTTTGTTGTCGGATTTGACAAGGACAGTCTCGACCGGGGTCCTGTTGACGTGGCCGGTGCTTCTCTGGTTGTCCATCTCATTCATCGAGCGGAGGTGAGTCACTACTGACTGGTGCACAGTGCTGTTATCGAGTGAGAACTCTTAGTTGTAAGGAGCCTCCTTTAGTGGGGAGTCTTCTTCTGTTTTCCTTGTGCCACTGTCTTACCTGTTGGTATGGCAATGGCAGCTCTTTGGTATGGAGGCTGGTGCTAGAGTGGAGAGAAAATTGAAGTGTGCAGGTGTTTTAACTATCAAATAGGCCCTAGTAAATGGAGGTAATGGAGGTAAGTGTGTACGGGTGCGTGACCTTCTAAGTTCACTTTACTAATGTGGGTTTGTATTCGTGTGAGTTGTGTTGACACGGGCCGATGAATCACATTTCCAAAGGTAGTGTACACTGTTTTATTATTTGCGGTGTTATTATTGGCACTGATGGCGCCTTGATGACATCACTCGAACCAGATGCGGCATTTTAAATGTAGAGGAAGTGCAATTAGGAGCAAGATATAGAGAGTTGAAAATGTGTACAATTGGTGTGTCGCATCAACTCCCTCCTCTGTCGGTCTCTTCCTTCCCGCCTGTGACATGCGTGCAGTTGTTGAATGTGAAGGTGGTGATTGCTTGGGAAACTGTCATTGGAGACCACAGAGGACGAGGCCTCCTCGTTCATCATCTCCTCCTTATTGCCAGTGTTTTGCGGCACGTGTGAAGAATTCGCTTGCTTAGGTTCCACCACAACTGGTTGCTTGACTTGTAGTTGTAGACGTCGAAGTATTGGCGCCAAGGGCGAGAGTGATATCGTAACTTTAGTGACAATTCGCGAGTCGTCCCAAGCACAGTGCGACTTTGGGTGGTTTTAGCGAAATGGTTAACGTATTTAATGGAGGTACATTTTCCTCACGTGCAGATTCGTAAACGTTGGTTGTCTCCTCGTGATTCGTTGGCCTTGAAGAAGTGATGACGTTTTCCAGTGGACAGTTTCTAGTGCTGAATGGTGGGTAGTTGGTTGGGAGGAACTGTTATCATCCCTTCTGTTGGGGTTTTATGAGTGCAGGACGCTTCTGGGAGGCGGAGATTGAGTGGTTTGCATTGCTGCGCAGGGTTCGCTCATGTTTGATCTGATCAACAATGTGGACGCTCGACAATTGAGGTGGGATGGAATGGGCAGCAGGGGCGTCATGTCGCTGCCTCGAAATCGGAGTCGTGGAGCCTTCTTTCGCATACCTCTCTCATTTGACGACTTTTATTTCGGTCCTGCACTGCCAGCCCCTTTCATTCGCATTGAGCCAGGTTCATGTCCTCCCGAGTCCAGTAAGTGTGAGTGTGGATGCATTGTTGGAAGGTAAGTATTGAATGAGTCGATGTTCAAAGCACTGAATGGCTTACTTGAGGAGATGTCTGACTTCTTTGTCCGAATCGTTGTATGTTGTGTGGTAGACCTCGTTGGATTGATCATCTTTGCCCTGCCGTGGGATCACCAAGTCTATCATCATCGTTTCAAGTAGGTGGTGTTGCAGTGGTGTGAGGGTGCTTGCTCAGAAGGCAAAAGGTGTTAATTAGGAGTTTTTTTAGTCCCAGAATTGCAGCGACATTCGATCTGCAGACGATCAGTCCCCTTCCGGAGGTGTACAGGAACTTGACGACACCCTTTGTGGATGTCATCATTGATCCGCGTTGTGACAATACCGAGGTTTACTTCTCTTACGCCTATTCACATTGGATATACCAGGTGAGCTAGAGGTTCACTTGCAAAAGAAAATGTCAATCAGTGTGGGTCAAGAGTTTGGACGAATGTGGAGTTGATGAGGGAGCCTTTGGAGCGGCCTCGTGTTTGATGACAGAGGTATTTGCACACTTTGTTGTGTGTTAAGCTGTGGGAATTGGTGAGATCTCGGCACTTGTCGATCACTCATTGCATGCATTGTTCGGGCGCTGCATTTGGAGACAAATGCATTGAGTAATGTGGTGTGTTGAGAGGAGAAGACATTGGTCACTTAGGCGCTCTTTAAGGCGCGACCATGGATGTGATTTGTTGGTTGGTTGTTCAAATAAGGGGTGAATAGGGTAGGAAATGAAAGCACTCAGCGTTGGATGTCTCCCTTGACCGCAGTTTAGTGCCAAGTGTTCCTGGGGAGACATGGGATTGTGGATGTTTGGGACAAAGCACATGGTTCGCATCATGGCATTCTCAATCTGCCCACTCCACGATTGGTGGCTTTCACAGGTGCAAGGTCGGACACCGTGGTGTCCGTTTCCTTGTTTGAGGGAGGCACGGTACTGTTTTCTGTGAGACAATCTGTTGACCGTGTTGACAATCTGTTGTCCGTGCTAGCGGGCATTTGCATTTGTAAGGTCTCGATTCCTTGTGGTCGTAAGTTACTGTCTTCTCCTTTATTTGGTCGAGGCATAGAGGCGTAGTGTGAATTGCAGTGGCTGTAAATTTCGGCAAATCCTTATGCTGCTTGGTCGCTTGGAGGTCTTAGTTGTTCTCGGCGTCTTTGTTTTTACCTGGAGAGCATAGAAAAATCGTCGCTCATTGAGCAGCATTGCTTGCTTGTTTGTGGGATGGCTTTCATCGAGAGGACATGTTGGTTGTTAGTGTTGTAGTTGTGGGGTGAATACTTATTTGCTCTTCCTGACAGTTCCTTTCGAAGAGACCATTGTAGTTGATTTGGATCGGTCCTCCAGGCCACAATGCCGGCTTTAGTGCACACGACATCTTGCGTTGACATAACACTCGGGAGTGTTGTCATTAATCACAATCCACTAGAATGCGGAACTTGTGTTTTATCTCTTTGGTAGTGTGTGTTTGCGCTGTCAGATGTAGTTGTTGTGCGATTTGGTAATTAACGTTAGGCCAGTTTGATTGGCGAATGGAGGTTGTGCGGTTGAGAAGTAGCCCCCCATGTTAGACGTCGATGGGACTGGTGAAAGGTTATGCCACCAGTCTGGAGGTCAAGTGGTGGAGAAGTGAAGGGTTAACAGTGTAAACAAGGTGTTGCAAGTTCCAATCGGTTGGCTCTCATTCCCAGCGCATTGAGTGCCTTG